CATTTGTATGAATTAAAATAAATATTGTATCCACTAGTAAATTAGCATAAGAGGTGTATTAATTTTTGAAATTTTTATCCCACCCTATATGTAATGTAATTTCAAAATCTTACTAAATGACTTTTTTTTTAGGTTTATGATTGATGAATATTTAGAGAATGACATAAAAAATGAAATAGAAGTATCAAATATTGAATTGATAGATCCAGATAAAGGGATAAAGGAAGAGAAATATTCAAGTGATGCCAATTCATCAGGACCAGGTGTTTTTAGAAAATTTCAATGTTATACGTGCAATGCTTTATTTAAAACTAAATCAAATTTGAAATATCATTTAGTGACGCACTCTGTTAGTTTTTCTCTTGAATGTGACATTTTCAATGCAAAATTTAAACGTAAAGTCGGATTGAAGAAACACAAACTAAGAAATTCGGCTGTTTATCCTTTCGAATGTGATATTTGCAAAGCAAAATTTAAACGACTAGCCGAATTGAAGAGTCACTCACTAATACACTTAGATATTTTTCTTTTTGAATGTGATACTTGCGAGGCAAAATTTAAACGTAAAAACAATTTGAAAAATCACAAATTAATACATTCGGATATTTATCCTTTCGAATGTGAAACTTGCAACGCAAAATTTAAACTTAAATCCGTTTTGAAGAGGCACCAACTAATACACTTGGATATTTATCTTTTTGAATGTGACATTTGCAATTCAAAATTTAAACATAAAGGTAATTTAAAAATCCACACATTAACACATTCGGATATATATCCATTTGAATGTGATATTTGCAATGCAAAATTTAAACTTAAGGGCAATTTGAAGATTCATAAACTAACACATTCGGATATTTATCTATTTGAATGCGACATTTGCAATGCAAAATTTAAACAGAAAAGTCATTTGAAAACCCACACATTAAAACACTCGGATGCAAAGAATTTTAAATGCAAAATATGCAATGCAAAATTCAAATATAAAAATAGTTTGAGAAGACACATTTTAACACACTCGGATGAGAGGAATGCAACATATGCAACGGCAAATTTAAAACAAGAAATAATTTGAAACAACATTCAGGAACGCATTTAACTAGATAAGTGTAAGTTTGATATTTATCTTTTTGAATGTGACACTTGCGAAGCAAAATTTAAATTTAAACATATAATTTGAAGAGACTCCAACTAATACACTTGGATATTTTTCCTTTTGAATGTAACAGTTGCAAAGCAAAATTTAAACGAAAACTCGACTTGGAGAGTCACCAAGTAATACACTAAGATACTTTTTTTCCGAATGTAACACTTGTAAAGTAAAACTTAAACGAAAAACCGATTTGAAGGCTCACAAACTTACACATTTGAATACTTATTCTTTTAAATGTGACACTTGCAAAGCAAAATTTAAACTAAAACATAATTTAAAGATACACATATTGAAGCATTTGGATGAGAAAAATTCAAAATGCAACATGCAACGCTGAAGTTAATACCAATGATAATTTGAAATAACATTCAATGATGCATTCAGTTGAATAGCTGTAAGTTTGAATTAAATGCTTGCTCTGTAAAATTTGAACAAATAAAAAATCAAAAAATTAGTTTGTTTAAACAATCAGATTTGTTGTGACGAAAGTTGTTTGAAGTTAGGTATTTTTTCAAATATTGAATTAAAATATTGAATTATAGATCCTTTGAAAAGACCTGGACGACTTTATTCTGGGATGTAAAAGGCTTCAATTACCTGCAGCGGTATTGCAGATAGAACTTGTGAATTTAATACTCTTTCTGTTTAATGTCAATGGCTTATTATTCTTTTCGGAAAATATAGAGGTTTACAGGATATTGTACAAATTTATCATAAATAATATTACATTGTAACGAAAAAAGAAAAATAAATAAATAAATAAATAAATGAACTAAAAAAAAATAGCTACTTACTAAAAAAAAGGAAAAAAAAATATATAAATTGAAAGAAAAAAAAAAAACAAATCTCAAAGTAAATTCGTTTATTACGTCGTTATTTTTTTCTCATAATGCCGCTAGTAACAACGTATTGTCGCTGATAAAATAAATTTCAATAATTCCTAAATTAGTGTCATTGTAAATACAAACCGGAAAAATAATATACACAATTGAAAAACTTGAAAAAGAGAAACATTACTTCCATAGTTTTGGAGTGAAGCAGAAATGTTCTGGGGATCCCAAAAAGAAGTCTGAAATTCAAGAAGTTTCCAAAATGTTTAGGAATTATATATCTTCATCACCACATCATTTAAATATTTTAAAACTGTAGTTTTTACTTGGTCCTCAATAAGCAGGATCTTAAATCATAATTAATCAGAACCCTTAAGTCTCTAGTCTCTAGTGTTTTTTCTTTAGATCTTGAGACACTGATTTTTGAACTTTAGATTTTTAGAATTTTTGATAAATTTTACGATTTTTGAGCAGCTCTGGATCCTTTAAGCCTTAAATCTTAAATTTGGAATCTTTAGTCTTAGAGGGTTAATGATGATGAGTCTTTGGTTTTTTTTCTCAAATCCTGAATAATCAGACTTTGAGACATGGGATTCTAAAGTATTCAAAGTCTTGTATTTCCACTTTCTAGGGCTTTGCTTTGGAATCTTTGAAGTATTTTAGTTTTAAGTAATGAACTTTGAAAACCTTGGAAGTTTTCAAAATTTATTGAGTCTATGGAGCTTTCAGGGAATTGGATTTCAATTTTTTTTCAGTCTTTTTAGAATTTCCAAAGGCTACTGTCTCAGGTCTTTAATCACCCGTTTTGCCTTTCGAATCTTGGGAAAAGAGGCTTCAAAGTCCTCAGAATTTATGAATTCTTTACTTTTTAGCATTATATCTCAAAAATCATTAGTCTTGAGCTTACAATCATTTCAAAATTTTCTAAATTTTTGGAGTTTTCAAGGGACTGACAGCCTTGATTTTTCAATTTCCGAAGATTAAGGGTTTAAATCACCCGTTTTGCCTTTAGAATCTTGGTAAAAAAGGCTTCAAAGACTTCAAAATCAACAAATTTTTTACTTTACAGTATATGGAAAAAAAGTATATTGAAAACGAAAATTTCGAGGTTTTAATTGCGGTTAACGCGGAAAAACATGCAGATGCACAGTAGACATATATCGTCTGTAGGTGCACGTGAAAGAGATGAAAATAAAATATGATTGGTTTGAATTGTGTTCGCCGGATTTTTTTTTTACACAAGTTGAGAATTTTTCTGTATCTTTGAACCACTGTATCTCGGTTACTATTGCGTTGAATAATACGTTCAACTGATGAAATTTGAAGGAAAAACGTATGGTTTAGAAAATATAAGCAAAAAACTGAAAAAGTCTGAAAATTTCGTGGTTTCTCAACTCCCCCCAAGCTAGCACAGGGTCCTCGAGGTCGAAAACTCAGATTTTACTCACTGACTACCCACAAATGACATACCAAAACATCATTACTTGCCTGCTGGACTAAAAGTTATGTTTTCAAATTTCGAATTAAGGAGCTTCTAAAAAATTAAGACTCAAAAATCGCAGTAAATCACTTCTTATCATCAAGTAGATTTAAATTATTGATTAATTTCAACTTCAAAATAAAAATGAATCCAAAAAAGCTTCAAAGTTCCAATAATCATTCGTGATGGATTAATTAGCACAATTAATATAGTCTGAAAAAAATTACATTTAAGAAAGTGAAGCAACACATTTGTATGAATTAAAATAAATATTGTATCCACTAGTAAATTAGCATAAGAGATGTATTAATTTTTGAAATTTTTATCCCACCCTATATGTAATGTAATTTCAAAATCTTACTAAATGACTTTTTTTTTAGGTTTATGATAGATGAATATTTAGAGAATGACATAAAAAATGAAATAGAAGTATCAAATATTGAATTGATAGATCCAGATAAAGGGATAAAGGAAGAGAAATATTCAAGTGATGCCAATTCATCAGGACCAGGTGTTTTTAGAAAATTTCAATGTTATACGTGCAATGCTTTATTTAAAACTAAATCAAATTTGAAATATCATTTAGTGACACACTCTGTTAGTTTTTCTCTTGAATGTGACATTTTCAATGCAAAATTTAAACGTAAAGTCGGATTGAAGAAACACAAACTAAGAAATTCGGCTGTTTATCCTTTCGAATGTGATATTTGCAAAGCAAAATTTAAACGAGTAGCCGAATTGAAGAGTCACTCACTAATACACTTAGATATTTATCTTTTTGAATGTGATACTTGCGAGGCAAAATTTAAACGTAAAAACAATTTGAAAAATCACAAATTAATACATTCGGATATTTATCCTTTCGAATGTGAAACTTGCAACGCAAAATTTAAACTTAAATCCGTTTTGAAGAGGCACCAACTAATACACTCGGATATTTATCCTTTTGAATGTGACACTTGCAAAGCAAAATTCAAACAAAAACGCTTTTTGGAGAATCATCAACTAATTCATTGGGATATTTATCCTTTCCAATGTGAAACTTGTAAAGCAAAATTTAAACGAAAACTCGACTGGAAGAGTCACCAATCAATACACTCGGATATTTATCCTTTTGAATGTGACACTTGCAAAGCAAAATTCAAACGAAAACCCGACTTGAAGAGTCACCAACTGATACACTCGAATATTTTTCCTTTTGAATGTGACACTTGCAAAGCAAAATTTAAACGAGAAGCCGAATTGAAGAGTCACAAACTAACACATTTGGATATTTATCCCTTTGAATGTGACACTTGCAAAGCAAAATTTAAACGTAAAAACCAATTGAAGAATCACAAACTAACACATTCGGATGTTTATCCTTTCGAATGTGAAACTTGCAAAGCAAAATTTAAACAAAAACGCGATTTGAAGCGTCACCAACTGATACACTCGGATATTTTTCCTTTCGAATGTGACACTTGCAAAGCAAAATTTAAACGAAAATGCAATTTGAAAAGTCACCAACAAATACACTCGGGTTTTCTTCTTGAATGTGCCACTTGTAGAGCAAAATTTAGACAAAAAAGCAATTTGAAGAAACACATATTAGGGCATATTCGGATGAGAAACAGTGCTGCATTCAGTTGAATAACTGTAGGTTTAAATCTTGCTCTGTAAAATTTAAATGTGAAACAATTTCGAATTTCCATTTAGCATCCACAATGTGTTGAATAACAATAATATATACATATATCTCAACATCCGTACTATTTTCACCCAACCTAAAATTGTGATGTTCATGTGCTCGAAATTTGTCCAAGAATATCAACGCTGATAGAAGTGTAAATTTTGAAGAAACTGTATGTAGACATTCAATTAAACTAAAACAAACCAATTCATTGGAGGTATTTGATATAAACACACTAAAACTAAAAAAAGCTCTATACTAAATAAGTATCTAGAATCGGTTACTATAACGCAAAAATGAATAATTAAAATTATATTAATAAAGGATAGACTGTTTCCCGACTCATTTGCTCTGTAGCGAATCTAGTATTTTCGATGCAAGGCAACTCTATTTCCAAAAAATTGCACTGGGTCTTTTTCAAAATAAGATTCATGTTGCTAGACCTAAAGTCTCAAAAACCATAGGTCAAAGATGTTTTCAGTTCATAGTTCCCACAGTTTATTCAAAAATCGTAGCATTTCTTCATATTCCGTCTACACTAGCTTTTAAATACAAGCTCAAATTATTTGTTAAGACCCAGATAACTCGAGATGAAGTTCATAGCATAATAGATTTTAAAAATATTTAGAATCTATACGTTTTTTCCTTCAAGCTGGTGTAAATGTGACCCAGGTTTGAAATTCACTATTCTTCATCAAATTTTTCTTGGATGAGTTTTAGGTTAGTTTTATATAGCAAATAATTTAAAAAAAATAATAATAATAAAAAATTATTGTATATAAACTAATAGGTAAATCAAAGGATGCCGAACTCGTGTCGGCTGTAAATAATTTTTTTTAATCTAATTTTGACGTTTAAAAATGACATTACTTACCAACGAAAAATCTGAAAACTAAGTGATTTAAAATATTTTTGACTCACTCTCAGCATTTTTCCTTGTACCTACTTTATTCTTTAAATTTCCACAAAATGGGATAAAATATTGTATACATCACGTGAGTTAAAATGTTTATTCATTCGAAGAAAATCAACTCACTCGTTAGGACTCGTGGGTTGAACTTTCTTCTCATGAATAAACATTCATTCCAATCACTTGGTGTAAAAATAACTATTTTATGTGAAATATATCACTTAGTCACCAATTGCTTTAGCCTTGCTTTTAATATTTCTATTGATTTTTCTGCAGGTGCAAAAACCTCGCGCTGTTGTAACCCTAGCTCGTCATTTATCTACACTGCACAGCATAATTAGCGCATAGGTTAAATTTACCATTTTCTTTTTTTGGTTCTCATTTTTTTTTGGAATAATTTTTCTGCATGCGGTTTTTGGCATTCGAAAGTTGTTTTCGTCTAGATTACCCGGCAAAAACAATTTTTTAGAAGGAATGTTATTTTCATGTTATACAGGGTGATTCGTGAAGTAATGCAACAATAGACAAATTAGGGGTGTGTGCCTGGCCGGCAATATTTTTTTTTTCGCGATCCAGTATGGACCGTTGACAAACTGCTCTCAATATCTCCAGACGTTTTTAGCAGTTTTCTGGTAAAGGCCCTTTTGACGCAGATATACCACTGAATAAAAAATGGGTCAAATTCTTGTTAAACAATTTTCAAAAGGCTGCTGCGTGAAAACGGCTGAACCGGTATCAGTCAGCATATCGAATTTTGGAAGCTCCTTTTCTGTAGATTTTTTTTGACGCAATAGCTTTTCTTGCGGATGTCCCTTATCACATTATACAGGGGTCGAAAAAATCACGTACCTGAAATTGTGCAAATTATGATAAATGCTCGCTTCAAAGCTATGCCAATTGGGCTGTGTGCTTTCGTTTTATTACATAATTGGTCAATTGAAACTTTGGATCAATATATCGGTACAAATTTCTCAATTTTTGGATTAGTGCCCCCCCGAGTGCCTTTTTGGCAGTCCGAATTAGAAATGCTGTTGCATAGAAACGGACTGATACATCTTGAATATTTTTTCGATTTTGCAAGCTCATTTTATGAAAATTATCACGCTATTACTGTAAATACAAAATTTCGCATTGTACAGGGGTTAGCGAAAATGTGAAGTTAAGTTTTTCAGGAATCAGATAAATCCTGTAGATATTGTCAAGTGGTCGATACTTTGGGTCAATATCTCAAGATGATTACTACTCTTTGTAAATAGGACCTCGTAATGCCTTTTTTGGCAGCACAACAGTTTCAATAAGTTGGAAATTGAGAAAAGAATAATGGATTTTCACTTCTCCGATGTTGAAAGCTTATTTTTTATATTATTACAGAATCAAAATTTAGTTATTTCCAGAAGTTACTTACCGAAATCAAATGTCCTGTAGATCAAAGTTAATTTCATTGAATGCACACAGCATCGGAATAAGTAAAATGCAGGCTTAAGGACAAAAATAACATTTAATTTCACAATTTGCCTCAATAAATAATAATACAAAATTTAGTGATGTGTGTTGCCTCCTCTTGCTCTAATTGCTGCTCCGCATCTTCTTGGCATGCTTAAAATTAGATTTCTTATTGTCTCCTAATTCATCTGATCCCATATTTCCGTAAGCCTCAAAGAGAGCTCATCAAGGTTCCTGGGAGGAGGCATTAACGCTCTAACCTGTCGACCCATGTTATCCCAAAGGTGCTCGATTGGGTTAAAGTCAGGACTTCTAGGCGGCCAGGGCAAAATGTGGTCGAGCATTATCGTGCATCAATAAAAAATCTTCTCCAATGAATGGGGCATATGGTACCACATGGGGTTCCAAAAGTTCCGTTATGTATCGGTTAGCTGTCAAACGACCTCCCTGAATCACAGCCAATTCTGTGCGAGCATCCATACTTATGCCACCCCATACCATTACAGAACCTCCCCCGTAGCTCACTGTTCCAAAAATGTTGCATTGGGCATACCTCTCGCCAGGACGTCGATATACTCTACAACGGCGGTCATCACTAAAGAGGCAAAACCTTGATTCGTCGCTAAACAATACATTGCCCCATTCACGGCCACCCCAATTTTCGTGCTCCAGGGCAAATTGAAGTCGTTGCCTTCGATGCTGCTGGGTTAGAAGGGGAGCCCTTGCTGCTCGATAGGGAGTGATTGTGCTTTCTGCCAACCTTCTCCTCACTGTATCTTGACTAATACGATAGTTATACCGACGAGAGCATTCTTGCTGCAGCGCTGTGCTTGTAACAAACCGAGTCCGTAATGCCTGCATTCGCAAAAATCGATCCTGATCATTCGTTGTCACCCTTGATCGTCCTTGTCCTAGTCTTCTTTGATTACTACCGGTCTCCCGAAATCGTGTTAGTGCTCTGAAGATAGCAGATTGTGTCACTCCATAACGTTGTGCCACTTCAGCTTGTGACAAGCCTTCTTCCACAAGTGCTATTGCAGCAGCACATTCTTCAGGCGAATGATTTCTCATGTCGCGTGCGTTTTGGGCCATTTTTTTTAAGTACACCGACTAAAGTAAAACGTTTCCAATACACACACGAAATAGTAACTGAAAATGCTACAGTCCACGATCAAACATTTGAGGAATATTGTTCTTATCTCCTTTTTTTCGATATTGTAAACAACCATTGTTTTTTTATAAATTCACAAAATTCACACAAGTCATTGCACACTGCACAGTTTTCAAAATTATTATAAGTAAATTCGACGGTAGACTCAGCTACTACCCAAGAATATATTGTTTGGCTGTTACCTAATTTCCAACAAATTACCTACTCTTACTTTTTCGCTAAAAGGCTATATTTTGGATCGGTAATTATCCAAAAATTTTTTTTTTTCGAAATGCTTGTCAAAATTTGTTTTCAATTTTCCGTTTATTGAATGGCGCTGCCAAAAAGGCACTCAGGGGGATTTGTTTATAAACAGAAGTAATCGTCTTGAGATATTGACCCAAAGTACCGACCACTTGACAATATCTACAGGATTTATCTGATTTCTGAAAAACTTACCTTTACCTTCTCGCTAACCCCTGTACAATGCGCAATTTTGTATTAACAGTAATAGCGTAATAATTTTCATAAAATGAGCTTGCAAAATCGAAAAAATATTCAAAATGTATCACGCCGTTTCTATGCAACAGCATTTCTAAGTCGGACTGCCAAAAAGGCACTCGGGGGGCACTAATCCAAAAATTGAGAAATTTGTACCGATATATTGATCCAAAGTTTCAACTGACCAATTGTGTAACAAAACGAAAGCACACAGCCCAATTGGCATAGCTTTGAAGCGAGCATTTACCAAAATTTGCACAATTTTAGGTATGTGATTTTTTCGACCCCTGTATAATGTGATAAGAGACATCCGCAAGAAAAGCTATTGCGTCAAAAAAAAATCTACAGAAAAGGAGCTTCCAAAATCCGATATGCTGACCAATACCGGTTCAGTCGTTTTCACGCAGCAGCCTTTTGAAAATTGTTTAACAAAAATTTAACCCATTTTTTATTCAGTGGTATATCTGCGTCAAAAGGGCCTTTACCAGAAAACTGCTAAAAACATCTGGAGATATTGACAGCAGTTTATCAACGGTCCATACTGGATCGCGAAAAAAAAATTATTGCCGGCCAGGCACACATCCCTAATTTGTCTATTGTTGCATTACTTCATGAATCACCCTGTATAACATGAAAATAACATTCCTTCTAAAAAATTGTTTTTGCCGCGTAATCTAGACGAAAACAACTTCCGAACGCCGAAAACCGCATGCAGAAAAATTATTCCAAAAAAAAATGAGAACCAAAAAAAGAAAATGGTAAATTTAACCTATGCGCTAATTATGCTGTGCAGTGTATAAGGTATTTCAAATTTTAAATATTTTAATTAATTTTTAGGTATTAATCGCTAAAATTAGAAAATTATAACTATTCTTTTATTATTGGAGATTTAATTAACATTAGATTATTTGATTTAATTTACATTTTTGGATTAAATTTAAATTTACTGTTTTTGTATTTCCAGTCCTTAAACGAAAAACTGATTTGAAGGTTCACAAACTTACACATTTGAATACTTATTCTTTTGAATGTGACACTTGCAAAGCAAAATTTGAACTAAAACATAACTTAAAGACACACATATTGAAGTATTTGGATGAGAAAAATCTAAAATGAAACATACAACGTAGAATTTAATACCAGTGGTAATTTAAACGCTGTCTAGAATTTTGGTACCGGCAACACATTTTTCACCGGTAGTTTTGATGACGTTATCCATCCATATGACGCACAGGTACCAGGATTTAAGTGAATCCCGGTGTTTTGATTTTGTTTTTATCGTTTTTTAAGGGTGCTCCGATTAATCGGATCACTGATCCATCAGAGATTCGTAAACTGATCTAAACGGAATAATTCGTTCGGAAAGTAACCCTATTTATCTCATATGTTGTGATTTCACTAACCTTGCCATTGACTATTGAGGTGGGTTGGTGGATACACCTTATCAGCTGATTGGTATTTTGGGTTAGTTTATTAATGTTTTCATAATTTTTTTGAAATATTTCAAACAATAAACATAAGTTTAGGTTCGAGATACCTTATACAAATGATTTGCGTTCGGAAATGTCGAACAACTCATCCCAGATTAGAAGTAATCTGCAATCAGATGATAGTAAACTAGCCCTAATACCCTGTACTATAATCTATTAGATTAGGGGAAAAAATTGACGAAATAAATTTAAAAAAAAAATAGATAAATGATTAAAATGAACAAAAAAAAGAAAAATGAAAATTTTAATTATTATTTTTATTCTGGAACATTGTAATTAAACTTCTACAACTTGGATGTTATTAATAGGTGTACATGTACAGAGTGGTCCAAATTAGACACTTTCTTACGAAAACACCTTTTATTTTTAGATTTAGGAACCTTAAGGGTCAAGTTTCATGAAATTATGATTGGTGCATATTGTATTTTGCTATTTTCAACCGTCTAGCCGCTAGAGGACGATAAGAAAATGTCCAATTTGGACCACCCTGTACATAATAATATTTGGTATTAATACATATAGGTGAAATTAGATATATACATATATAGAAGGAATAAGTGATAGGGTTGTAGCGAAATTTCAAAATCTTCTTCAATTTTTTTAGGCATTGAAAAGAGACTTTTTATTTTTGAATGAGTAATAAAACTAATTCTATCAGAACTATTGTATTAATTTCTCAAATCTCGAATTTTAATTCCACCTACCTATTGTTATTCCAAAATCTTAAAAAGGTTTTTTTTTTTAGGTTTATCATATATGAATATTTAGAAGATGGCATTAAAAACGAAATGGATATTTTCAAATGTGACACTTGTAAAAATCAATTTGACCGAAAAACCGATTAGAAGGCTCACATATTAACACACTCGGATGAGGAGAATTTTAAATGCAACATATGCGATGCAAAATTTAAACAAAAATATAATTTTCAACATACTCGGATATTTATCCTTTTGGATGTGACACATGCAAATCAAAATTTAAAGAGAAAGGCAATTTGAAGATTCACAAACTAACACATTCTGAAATTTATTGGCATAAAAATTAAATTTCTAACATCTCGACAGTGGTTTCTCGGTAAGCAAGGAAAACGTCAACAAAAATTGACAGAATTGACAGACGACAAAAAAATAAAATAACAAGGACAAGAGACGCAAAGCGAAATGGCATACGCTAGGCTATTTTTCGCAATTATTATTTTGTATTTTATTTGCAATAAATGCAGGTAAAGGGCGGTATGGCCTCAGCTCCTAATTAGGCACTAAATCGAAATTAATTTTTTTCTCATAAAGCCTGCGTATGTAACCCAAGTTTGAGGGTGGATTTAAGTAGCCCCATGGACCCTCCATCTACCCTAAAAATTTCATGTTGAGAATCCTGCTAATAAGGGCGGTACGGCCTCAGCTCCTAATTAGGCAATAAATTGAAATTATTTCTTTTCTTATAAAGCCGGCGTATGTAACCCAAGTTTGAGGGTAGATTTAAGTAGTCCTAGTGGCCTTTTACTTAAGAAAGTTGGACGTCGACAAAATAATGAAACTCATAAATAAACTGCGTTTATTGTGTTTATTTTATGGTAATTTTTCTATTATATAGTTCGATTTTTCTTATAATAATCAAATAATCGGGAAAATATTCAATAAAATAATCAACAGTCAGCCAAGGAGCCAGCTTCACAGAAGCGACTGCGTTCCTGAACCCATGTACTAATTTTTAGGAGCTGGCATTAGGCCTATTCGGGTTTGGAAAAAGTACGGTTCTAGAACGGTCCAGAAGAATCGCACAGTTTATCAAAATTTGTGATAGTCGAGTCGTTGTTATTTTGTTGATCAATAAACTGGACGGTAGTTTTGAACCGTTCTAGAACCGTCTTTTTTCCAAACCCGAATAGGCCTATTTTAGGAGCTAGCGTAACGTACATGCCAATTTCGAGCGTTCACAGGTCATATTGGACTGGCTGGTCTGATTTACATTTTGATTTTACATTATTTTTACATACCTATGTACGCTGAGCTTTCCAAGATTTAGAGGCAAATTATTGTGAGCAATGAAATAATAGAAAATTTTCTGGAAAAAAGTTGAGTGTAGACTATTCCATTATCGAAAAAATTCGCAAGTGATAAAGGAAATAAATGAAATGGCAACTTACCTTAATGGGTAACAAGGCACTAACTTTAACTAATGGTGGTTTTATACAGACACATAACATAACCTAAGACATAACATAACATAAGAAATAAGATAAAATTATTTTGTAGCGTTTATACAGACACATAACATAACATAAGAAATTATTTTTAACCAATCAGCTGGTACGTATACTTATGTAAATTCTACTGAAAACACTATATTTGATCAAAAGAATTATAAATTAATAATTTAGCAGAAACAGAAAATAAATATCGAATTCCAAAAAATTACCAGTAGCTGAAAACAAAATTAATTTTTTTTTTTTTGGTTGGAATGTTTTGTTAACTACTCTGCCATTGCCAACATCAAGGGAGGAGCATGCGCAGATCCGTTTTCACATAAAATAAGACATAAAAGTTAAAAGTTAAGCTGGGTTTATACAGGAATATTTTATTTTATAAGAAATAAAATAAAATCGAAAGATGGCCTTATGAGAACCCATGGTGGCGTTTATACACAAAAATAAAATAAGATAACAAATAAGCGAAAATAAAGGGTTGGTTAACTTTTAACTTCTTATTTTATTTTATGTGAAAATGCTATTTGCGCATGTCACGACGTCGATTAGATTAGACCGATGACAGTTCAGACGTGTGGTGATTGGTTCAAAATAATTATAATTTTATTTTATATTTTTCTGTATAAACGCCTTATTTCTTATTTTGCTTATTTGTTATGTTATTTCTTATTTTATTTTATTTTATTTCCTGTATAAATCCAGCTTTAACCAAGTTTCTTATTTCTTATGTGATGTTATGTTATGTTATGTTATTTTCTGTATAAACGCCATAAGGGGTTTCCATAAAGTCAACTTTCATGTCTTATGTTATGTTATGTCTTTTATTATGTTATGTGTCTGTATAAACCCACCATAATAGTTTATTGTCACTCCGATCTTTGAAAATTGAAATATTCACTTGTTTTTTATCTTTGATTAAACAAAGTCTGCACATCAACGACATTTCACTCACTAGGCATAGGCCTAGCCATTTTCATTTTCTCTAAAACTAAATTGAAATTTCATCGGAGAAAAACCACAAAACTTTCTGTTGTTGGAAGGTGGGTTTAGCCAACTCTTAATGGATAATGCACAATTTTAATTCATAATTGATAATGCGTAATTCATACGCGGTGTTTATACAACGCATAATTTTTGTGCATTAATAACTGACAGAACAGCTGAGTTTGAACCTTGTTATTTTTCATAAAATAATAAATAATTGAATATAGTTATAAATTAGGCTTTATATTATCAGAATAAATCCCATTTTAATAATTAAAAATGGAAAAACTCGTTTCCAGATCAAAAACCATTGAAAACAGTATGAAAACAGACAACAAGATTTCGAGGTTATGAAGCAAAATCAAAACAAAAACAAAGTTGGAAATAATCAATTATTGTACGCTTGCGCTTCAGCGTTTCGTGCTTAATTCGTAATGGATAATTCGTGAAAGTTAAAAGTTGGTCAACTGTTACAGTTCAAAATTCACTGTATCAATTTGTTAGTTTTATATAAATTCTCATTTAATATTGTATTCCAAAGCTCTAATATTGTTTTTAATTAATATCCTTTTATTTTAATCATTTCATGAACATAAATAATTCATTTTCCGACAGGTTGACAGGGTGCTTCTGTTTTCCTGTATTCTTGTTTTGTCGGGGAAATATTCCTTGTGGGACTGCGTCTAAAATGTAAAAGGATGACTTAAGATGAAATAGAATTCAATTTCAATACTTACCTTTATTAAAAATTGGGGCCCAGTGCTTTGTTTACCATCCGTTAATTATTGGGTTATGATTTATTATTTTTGACACTTGAACTTGATCTTGAACAGCTGTGTGCTCCGAACACTTCGGTTTTTATTATTTAGCGGTCTTGGGATGTCGCACAGGTGATTGGAGTAAATGGGTCAAGGTTTCACCGATAAATCAAAGTCATTGGCGTAGTTCACAGAATTGTTACTGTGTTGCTGTCTGTAGCAACATAAAGTTTTCTTCGTTTTGTTCATGAATTGAAATTCTCTGTGTAAATTATAATATAGCTGAGGAAGTTAATAACTATTTGAGACTTTAAAGAGTCCTATTGTGTTTTGGGACTGTATGGAAATTATTTTGAGATTTGGCAACAGACCCAGAGAGACGAGTCGTCCCTGGTCTGAACATGACATTGCAGTTTGTCATTAGGGGGGAAATTGAACCTTTCAAGTTCTTCCTTCGGTCTTTTCTACCCCAACTTTCAGCCTGAATGGTCGTTTTAGCTGCTAAGCCTTCTTGAGTCCTAGGATTCGCCTTTGTACCTAAGGGATTTTGGCTGCAGTTTTCGCGTGGAATCCGTTTCTTTGGTTTACTGGATAAACCGCAAGTTGTGCCGGAGGCACGTGTAATTTTGGATTTCCACAAACCTTTTTGTAAGGGATTTTTGACCACGTGACTGGTAAGTTATCTTACTTTTGCTG